CTCCCTTAGAGAAGCGTCGAGGAACTTTGATGGTCCTTCCTGACCTCGATTTCTTTGGAGGCGAGGCAGCCTCTGCAGCGTCTTCTTGTTCTTCGATCAGTTTGCGTTTCCTTTTTCGTTCCACACGGACCGCGCAAGTGTTGCACGCCTATAGAAACCAAGAGACATAGATTTGTGAGAATACTGGATAAACGAGTCCGAATGAAAATTGTAAAGCATCGGGTATTGCGAGTGTGATTAAAATACGGAGTCAATTCTTGTCTATACCAATGTCACAAACAGCCGAGAAGTTTCATTTCTAAAACAAAAACATCTCCTAACATTATCTTTAAACAAAAGAAAATCAAACCCACAATACCATTTCAACTCAATACTCTATATTTAGCGTAATCGATAACTTCACGATGGTGGCCAGTTAAAGCTAGGAGGTTATGGTCTTCTAATTGTTAACACCGGAACATGGGAACATGATGATTAATTTATCTGGAGCAAGGTTTATTCTAAGATACCTACTGGGGAGCAAGGTATCCTTTGCGTTTTTCAGAGAAAAGGAAGTTATTGATATCCTAACTTTGAAGTAACTTCCGTCATCATACATTTTACCAGGCAAAACAGCATCGAGAGGAACTTTTTAATATTTTCCTAATCGCAACTTGGTAGGTGCGACTGGAATTAGACTTATAGTCAGTGTTGTTCTTCAAAAGCAAACAGATAAACAAAACCTTTTCAGGGGTTTTCTACACTTGCTAACGGATAATTTTGGGGAATAAGTAAATGGGAACCTTTTTCTAGAACTAATTTTCATGAATACACCAAATTTTTTATCCGCTTTTCTGGGAAAACAACGAAGAAACTTCAATTTTTGTTTTCAGACAAAAAGGAAAATGACCCCCCCTTCCTCCCACCCTCCTCCTGTACAAAGCTAAGCTGCTATCTCTGACCTTGATATGATCTTCTTTCTTTTTGTAATGATACCAATGTACCACGCATTCTTCTCGCGTCTGAAATGTATAAGAAAAACATGCAATAACAACAATCGTCAACCATCTATTAACACTTAATCATGTTTGCAAACGATTGGAAACTGTGAGGCAACTGCATTTCAATCTCGAGTCTGGGGTCATTTTGGCTCCTCGTTGCTAAGTAATGCAGCTGACAAGCAACCGATATGATCCTGGGCACGACATTGAATAAATTTCCTCACCGACGTTAGTTATCTCATCATATAATCGTGCTGATTTGTCCCGTTACCTTATTTGGTACTGATTCCGCTGCTTTAAAGAAGTCTTGCTTCTTTCTTTTCAACCTAACGTACAAGACCATACGCACAGGTAAAATGTATTAGATAATACTAAAATGAACGACGGAGAGTTACAATAAAACTGTTTCTTGATTAACACATCTAAAAATTGGTTTATAAGTTTCATTGTCCTTTTTCTGACTTGATATCTTTGTCTGTTTCAAATTAAGTACACATCTGATCAAACTATTCCTTACCGACTCATCGTAGAAAAAATCTTTGCATGAAACAATAAATTATTTAGCAACCAGTTCCTCTTGAAATTGCGATGAACTGGTAAAGAAAAACGCGCAGCGCATCACTGCTAAAAATTAACTCAAAAATTGCACCTCTACTTTATCTTTGATTAGTCGGGGCGAAATGTACCTTATTATTAATAAACCGCAAACGGAAAGATTATTGTGGAAAGTTCTTGATTTTGTCTGGCTTGTCTTAGTGTAAGAAATTCTCGCCTCTTGCATGAAGGACACAATTTGGAAAGGACGATATTTCGCTCAAATTTTTCATAGAGCGATTTGAAATCCAATGGTCATAAAGTTTGTTTTTTTTAACATTTTTTTTGCAACATTGATTTGTTGCGATTCTACTGTAAAAAGACCGTGGTGAAACCTCCGATTCATACTCACGCAGAACAAAGTTGCTTCTCTTCTTCGAGGTTCCATGATTCTTTCTCTCTCTCTTTTCTTTGTTCTTCTTCTTCAAATGGATTTGTAATGAGCTCTGGTGCACATAAATCAAAGACGCTTGTTAAGATAACTTTTGCCCATAGAGCGTAAAACGCATGGAAAATAAATTCGAAGACGGGCCCGAATGCTCGCTCATGATTACGCCAAGTCACGTGTAACGACTCAATCATTGCTCACTGTTAACCCTTTGCACCCTAACATTAATATTTATATCATTTCTTTAACTCTCATAACCTTAACATTTGACCTAAGGGTGATATCGTAAGGAGAAATTAGTAAACAAAATCCTTAAGGTTTAAGGCTATTATCTAAGTTGTTGTTGTACTTTTGCTTACATCTTTAAACAACTATGAAAGAGAAGCGAAGTTTTCTCGTTGTCATCATACTCACCCTCTCTCAGCTGTTCTTTTTCTCGAGCTGCAGGGTCCGTGATGACGTCTGGGATAACGGCTTGGTTGTCTGTTACATTCTATGTTGTACAACAAGCGATATGAGAAAGAGCTCGAGGAATACTTATCACACTTATTTATGTTCGCCATTATGTCGTAAGATACTTCAAAAAAAGGGATGACTGAAATCTCGCCATGAGTTTTGCTAGGAATTAGATAAATTAAACGAACGAACGAAAGAAGTTTGTGGGTCAACAATCAGAAGAATTGAACTAGTGGAGGCCGATGAACGGGTAGGAGGGGAGGATAGGTTGTTCGATTTACATATGGAACACAGCAAATGATCTGAAATTGTATAGGATGACGCATTGGGTCAGCAAGCCTTCTAATGTGACCCCGGAATGGGAGAGGTGTCAGAATGTTTATTAGTCATGAATGAATTGCCACTTTTTGTAAAAATTTAGGGAAAAGGGCTGACACGAATTCCCAAAGTCTAAAACCTTTGCAACTGTGAAGAAATCATCCCTGACCACCAACAGAGCCTGACAAAATTAAATTTTTTTCGGCAAGTAGCACATACCTTCCAAATCATAAAAGCCTTGTATGAGCTTCTCCCTCTGCCTCTCGAGTATTTTCTCTCAAGTCTCCAGATTCCTTCTTCATCCATTGGAGGCGGCGTAGGAAGAAGCATATAATCCAAGGGATCCACACATGAATCATTCTTGTTTCTTTGAAAAAGCAAAATATAACTTTTTTAAATAATTAAATGTGCGTCTGACTTAAGTGTCTGGCTTTCTGTTAAGCGGTAGAGTGGTTGAAAACTGACTGACCGACGGACTGATTGACCAACTGACTGTCAACATTCAGCCGTAAAATATACATGCCTATGGACTGTTCAAGTTTTAATTGCCTTTGCAGAAATGGAAACGTTGGGTGGATCACATTCCAGTTTTTGCGCTTTCGTTCTCTTGCTACGAAGAGTCCTATATACATAACATGCGATGAACACTGTTAACTCGTCGAATGAAACACTTTACAAGAAAACTCGTGCATTTTTCTCATCAGCAAGTTTTCTTTGCTTTATTGGTTTTTTAGTTCAAAAGTAACTGTGTCAATGGAACCTTTCGGCGAAAGCAAAAGAACTTTGAACTGTACCTTTTCCTTTTATTTGGCAATTGCCGTTCAGGATTTCTTGTAGACGGTCCAGCTTTTTCCATGTCCATCTCTTTCTTTAACTTTTTTCTTAAAGCGAATTAAAAACTGCTATCGAAATATAGAACGTTGTCGAGTGCGCAGCAATGGTTGCTAAAACTTGACTGTTTTCTCGCAGATTGCTGAAGTAACAGAGATGTCACAATAAGGGAAACGTCATTCTAAAAGATGACGTAACGGATGCGCGCGGAAGTTGTAGTTAGCCCGGTCAAAACATATTTCAAGAATCACCACAAACTTTAAAGAGATATTTTCGGCATGATTCATATCGAAATTGATTTTTGTGTTGTTCTTGTGTACCTAAGTTTTACTCGTTACCTTAAAATTACGTTATCGATCTAACAAGTGATAATATTTGACATTACTGCTATCATTACAGTCATTACAAGAGTTAAACTGGACAACATTTGGATTAAGGTTAGGCTATGCGAATAAAATGATAACTACAGTTGTGTTACATCCCTGCGTGCAGTACCTCCTTTAATTTAAGACAATATCAAAGCGGTTCTAGCTGAGTCTGGAATCTAAAGTACTCAACCGAACTTGTACATTCTTGCCTACAACTAGAAAAGGTGCACAACTTCTTGTGGACAAGAGTATTCTTGTCTGTCAAGTACATGTTAATTCATCCTAGTGGAAGAAAGGCGAATTCTCACCAAAGTAACAGAACAAGAGAATATCATCTGATATTCCCTTGAACAGAAGTATTACACACAGTAATTTAAACCGTCATTAGCGCGCGCTTCTACTGTCCTTTTCTATTCATACTGTTCTTTAACTTCGTGACAATAATATACTGGGATTCATAATAAATTGACCCTTATGAGTAACTAGCATCTAATTTCTCCTTAAAAACTTCACCCTTTAACCACAAATTAAGGTCACGAGAATAAACAAAATAATCACTGACCAAATCAAGAAGCTTTTGATTGTTAAACAAATTCCCCTTTTCAGTACCTTAGAAAATGTATGGAGAAGAGTATGGACAATTTGCATACTGATGTTAAGATGTGAAGGATTAAGAAAAATGTTTCGGCGTGAATCATGCAAAA